CTTATTTATTAATTAATTTTATATATGCAAATTTTAAATGATGTATTGATATACAAATTCATTCTGAAATCATTACCACTGTTAAGCCAATTAACATACCTATTAACTTGCATAGTTTAGTTCCCTTTTCTGTGTGTGGTAAGAGTACCTTAAAAAGTACTGTCTTGAAAAGTGTCTAATACTATTACATTATTATTTTTAAAAAGATTTATTTATTCATATGAAAGTCAGAGTTACGCACAGAGAGAAGGAGAGGTAGAGAGAGGTGGGGGGAGAGAGAGAGGTTTTCCATCCACTGGTTCACTCCCCAATTGGCCGCAATGGCCAGAGCTGTGCTGATCCAAAGCCAGAAGCCAGGAGTTTGTTCTGGATCTCACACATGGGTGCAGGGGCCCAAGGACTTGGGCCATCTTCTACTGCTTTACCAGGCCATAGCAAAGAGCTGGATTGGAAGTAGAGCAGCCGAGACTTGAACCGGTGCCCATATAGGATGTGGGCACTGCAGGCAGCGGCTTTACCTGCTATGCCACTGTGCCACCCCTACATTATTATTTACCATTAAATGTCCCATGATGTACTTTTCTTTTTAATCTGTAAAGCAAATAGACTGTTATATTATATTTTTTTTTTGACAGGCAGAGTTAGACAGTGAAAGAGAGAGAGAGACAGAGAGAAAGGTATTCCTTTTCCATTGGTTCACCCCCCAGATGGCCGCCACAGCCGACGCACTGTGGCCAGTGCTGCGCCGATCTGAAGCCAGGAGCCAGGTGCTTCTCCTGGTCTCACATGTGGGTGCAGGGCCCAAGCACTTGGGCCATCCTCCACTGCCTTCCCAGACCACAGCAGAGAGCTGTACTAGACTGTTATACTATTAACAGAATCTCATATATGAAATAAAAAATAATGCCTATATACATTAATTTTCTTCCCAGTTTATGCAGATAATGAGAGACCATTCCAAATAAAATTCAGCTGAATTAAGGGTAACAAATGAAGGCAACTCCTAATTGGAAGATACAAAATTTGTTTAGGACTGAGCAATAGAGATGTTACCAAGAATGACTTGAAGCTGCCTACTTAAAACTGAGGAGCAAATGGCTGTTATCCTATTCAGAGTCAATCCTTGTAAAGAAAACTCTGCATAAATATGAATACTTCAAAATGCTTATTGAAAGTAGAATTCAAACAAGTTCAATTTTGGTGAAACAAAAATTGAAATCCATGCATATTCATGTTGCCTCATGAACTTTCATCTCCACCAAACCCACTTAAATTTGGTTAGGTTCAGATCATTCACTTTGTACGTGTGTTGGGTCACTTGGGAGCAAATGTCTCAGGATCGGGAAGAGCTCCTATCCTTTCTTATACTCTGTCACTGTTCATGGCTCCCTTTGCAATCTGAGTTGACATCAATGCTCCCGGTAGGATAGAATTGCTGCAATTAGGACCCCAAATCTCAGTGGCTAAACCATTTGTTCCTTCTTGGATCATTTTCCAGAGTAGGTCAGAAAAGAGATTCTTGGTAATTGGCTAAGTTTTCAATTCTTTTACTTATCCTTTGAGTTTGTCAGACAAAAAAGAAACAAAGGAATTGAGTGTATGTGTGTGAGGGGGAGGTTATGGGTTGAGCCTGCAGATAAAAACATTTACACACATATTTCATTAACCACAGAAGTCATGTACTTGCTAACTACCAACAAGAGAAAGGAAGAACGATTTTCCTTCCTCACACCCAGAAGTAAAAGTGAAATTGCATTTTGAATAATTAAGTCATTTCTGCCACTTTGCCCTAGAATTATCTACTGATTCATACAAGTATCAAGAGTTATTTAGTAATCATTTCCTTGCTAGTGTCTAAGTATATAATGCATAGCGGGAATCCTCAGCTGAGATAAGAGATCTTGCCTCTAATGTCAGAGTTTCCAGTGTAGTTTTTCTCAAAAAATAAAAATAAACTACCTATGGAAGTATAATACATTTAAATAGATATATACATATCCTCCATATTCTTTCACAAATTGAAAATAAGAATATAAATGGCACTCAGATTAAGAAACTGAACATTGTCAGCATCTCAGAATTCACACTAGGGCACTCCTCCAGTTCTCTTTAAAGACATATCTTTTAGTGAATTATTTTGGGTATATACATAGGAGTAGAATTGCAAGGCATGAACCATGTTGTTTTCTCACCTTTGGTAGACACTGCCAAACCAAGCAGTATTCTAAAGTTGTTATGCCAATTTATACTCCCACCCACAGTATAGACTTCTGGGTGTTCCATATCCTAATAAGTTGTCAGTATTTTCTTTCCTTTTTATTTTAGCTGTTGGCATGTAAATGATTTCATTCTGATTTTATTTTTATTTCCTTAATGTCTAGCATTGTTGAGCATGTTTTCAGCGTTCAAGTTTTTGATTAATGAGTTAAGAATCTAATTCCTATTTGCTCATTTTTTCTGCCTATTTTCAAAGAATGTGTTGACATTTTAGAGGCTACCTTTATTTTCAACAAGTAAAACAGCAGGAATTATGAATCATGGCGAGATCTGCATCTTAAATTCTATCTTCCCCTTCATGTGGTTAACTAAGTACAGTTGGCCCTCTATATCTATGGATTCCACATCCATAGAGTCAAATAATCATAGGCCAACAATATTTGAAAACAAATAATGTCTTTACTGAACAAATATAGTCTTCTTTTTTATTATTCCCTAAATCTTATCCTTATTCATAATTGCTTAATGAAAGTCTCTCTCATAATTTTACCATGACTGCAAAACTATGGAAGTGTTTGTAATGTAAAACTAAGCGATCCAAAGGGATGCAATTTAAGCCTGTCTTGTTCTTTACCAACAATGATGTCAATTTAATTTACATTAAGTCACAGCCTAGGGTTCTAAAGTCAACTGAAAAAGATATTTCAAAAGTAAAAACAGTATTCTTTACTGCATTCAGAAAGAGAGTTCAGAACATAGGAAGAGGTAGAATTTGACAATCCAAAAGCAAAGCTGGAGAAACTACTGTTATGTTCAGAACCAAAGACAGATTAAAACCTTCAGAATCCATCACCACGGAGATTATAGTGATTGCCCCAGTCCATTTTGTGCTGCTTTAACAGACTGTCTGAGACTGCGTGATCTATTGTGAAAAAAAATTATTTCCTAAGTTTTAGGAAATCCAAGATGAAGGGGCTGGAATCTGGCAAGAGCCGTCTTTCTGTGTCATCACATGGGAGAAGGTAGAGGACAAAGAGGCAACAGGAGCCATGGTAACTCTTTGATGAGGCTATTAATACCACCTCTGAGAGCAGAGTCTTTCTGGTTCGATCACTTCTCCAAAACCTGACCTGCTAAAACTGCCACACTCACCATCAAATTTCAGCATGAGTTTTGTAAAGCACAACTATTCAGGTTACAATGGTGACTCTTTCTGTGTTTAATTAATTAAAAGAATACTAAAGCATGAAGCAAATGTAAGAAAGTTTGGTAAAGTGAGATTCATTCTTATGATTAATAGTCAAAGATTTTTAAGAATAAAACATTTTGAAAAATGATGCCTGTTTTGCTGATAATCTTTTTCTTAAAGGATTTATGTAGTTATTTATTTGAAAGGCAATGTGACAGAGATAGATGGAGAGACAGAGAAAAAGCGATCCTCCATCTACTGATTCACTCCCCAGATGGCTGCAGCAGTCAGGTGTGGGCCAGGTTGAAGCCAGGAGCCAGGATTTCTGTACTGCTCTCCCATGTGTGTGGCAGGGGCCCATCTTCCACTCTCTAGGAACATTATTAGAAAGCCAGATCAGAAGTGAAGTAGCCAGGACTGGAACTACCACTCCATTATAGGATGCTGGCAATCTAATACTGTAAGATATATGAGTTATCAGAATTAAGAGTGAAGGAGAATCTCTGGTATCCAGGGTCCCCAGAAAGGACTAAAATAGAGCACTCAAGAAAACTATCCCTCGGGACTGGTGCTATGGCATAGTGGGTAAAGCTACCACCTGCAGTGCGGGTATCTCGTGTGGGCACCAGTTCAAGTCTTGGCTGCTCCACTTCCAATCAATCCAGCTCTCTGCTATGTCCTGGAAAAGCAGAAGATGGCCCAAGTCCTTGGGCCCTGAACCTTATGGAAAGGCCTGGAGGAAGCTCCTGGCTCCTGCTTTCGGATAGGCACAGCACTGGCTGTAGTGGCCGACTGGGGAGTGAATCAGCAGATGGAAGACATCTCTCTCTCTCTCTCTCTCTCTCTCTCTCTGCCTCCCTCTCTCTCTCTCTGGCTCTCCTTCTCTCTTTGTGTAGCTCTAACTTTCAAATAAAGAAATAAATATTTAAAAAAAAAGAAAACTATCCCTCTATCCCAAACCCTGTTTTTCAATATCATCCCCAAGTATGGATGTGCCTGCAACCATGGAATCCTAGTAGATTTTGTTTGTTAGTTGTTTAGCTTTTTGTGATTATTTGTGGATGTTTAAAACAGAATCATTTTGTAGCTCATCATTAAAGCCAAGATTTTATTCTCAGGCAATATAAGAATATAATATCTCTCATCTCTCCTTGGTCTAAATGAATTCAATTTTAATGAATATAATGTGAAACTTGCTTTGCTATATATAATATTAAAGCCTCAGCATGTGAATGAACATGAAATGAGTTAATCTTATGAGAGTTATTAACACATCTTAAAGTATTATCTCTGCTTTCACATATTAGTGACTTTCATACACCAAGTTGGTTCATGTGATAAGAAAGCAATTAGTATACTACTAGTGCAAATATTATGATAAGACTTTTATGCTGAATTACCAGCTTTGATAAACCCCTGGTAGTTTCCATTTAATAACTGATTTATATGCTCTAGATAACACGCTAATACTCACAATTGACATGACACTGAGTCATATATCCTCTTTTGCTTATCCCAAAATGGATTTCCACTTCAAAGGAAATAGATACAGATACTGTTACTTGCCAAAAGCACAGCAGAATACAGTGTCATATATTCTTCCATTTCACATAATCCAGCTACTCTTACAGGCAGAGTTGCTATCATTCCCTCTACTCTATCCTGTGTTACAATTTATTGGAAAAAGTCTTAGTTTCCCAATCTATATAATGAAATCTTTTCACTTTTGTAATCTCCAAGGAATGAATTTCCTGACTTATGATTTCTTCTCTTTTTTTTTGGAATATAGCAGTTCTTTTTTTAAATTCTTTTTATTATTTAATAAATGTGAATTTACAAAGTGCAACTTTTGTATTGTTGTGGCTCCCCCCCCAACCTTCCTCCCTCCCACGACCCTCCCCTCTCCCACTCCCTCTCCCATCCCACCCTTCATCGAGTTTCATTTTCAATTACCTTCATATACAGAAGATCAACTTAGTATACACTAAGCAAGGATTTCAACAGGCTGCCCTCACACAACCGTACAAGGTATAGGGTATTGTTTGACTAGTGGTGTTGTTTTTAAGTTTCATAATAAAACACATTAAGGACAGAGATCCTACGTGGGGAGCCTGTACCCAGTGATTCCTGTTGTAGATGTAACAATTGGTACTCTAATTTATGGCATCAGCAATCACCCGAGGCTCTTGCCATGAGCTGTCCAAAAACTCAAAGTGTTACTCAGAGACTCTTTAGCATTATGGCTAGAATGTCATAGAAACAATTTTTTAAAGAATGAATGAATGAGTTACAATTAAACATTGGAAAATAGCTTAAAATAAATTTAAAATGGTTTAATACCATGTCCTCCATATATTCATGCCATTTTAAAACCTGTAGAAATTCTACGTTCATGGGATTAAAAAAAAACTTGATGACAATTCCTACTACCATAATTCCATTACTTGTCCTTACTCATACTTTATCTGATCAACAAGCATCGATCACTCATTCTATGCCAAACACTCATCTTACTAATGATGCGGCAGTGAACAAAACAGATACATTCTTTAATTTAATGTAACTTACTTTAGAGTCAGAACACAAGTGAATTGTAGTAACAAACCAAAAAACGTATAGCTCCTTGTTGTGTTTTAAGTTTAATGGAAAATTCCCTTGAATTTACCTTCTAAATCCTGAAATTCAACTGAGAATAAGGACAAAAAAGACCTGAGATGGTATCTTTTCTGTGTAAAATTCAAATACTTGTAAATGTTCAAACATCTCATGTCTTCTTAAGTTCAAAAGAATTGGAGAGATTCATGTGAAGACAGTATCATAAAAATGAACATACCTATGATCAAATTGGCCTCCTTACAGATTATGATAAATTTGAATTTCCAACAGTATCTTGACAATTTTTTTTTTTTTTTTTTTACAATACAAACCTAGTTTAATAAATAAGGAAACAAAGCAGTTCCTTGATTGCCCATTTATAGTCTTCTCTGAGACTCCACTGCCACTTCTACCTGGGCAAGTCTAATGGTGCAACCATGAAGTTTGTAGCCATCTTGTCTTACTAATGCCAGCGTGCCAGGCTGCACCCTAACACTAGCTGGCACGTGACAGATGAGTTCATGCTCATGAGGGTCGTATTTATCACCGATGGGTGCCATCCTCTCCAGGCCGTGCTTGGCAAACACACTTTTCAGCTTTGCTTGTAGGAGTGACAGCCCCCGAAAGACCTTCTCCAGAATGAGTGTCTGGCCCCCAGGCTCTGTTTCTTCAGAAATGCACTCAGTAGTCTTCTCCAAAATGTCCGCCACCTCCACCAAGTCCTTACAGAAACTCTGGATGCCAAATATCTTGGCATCTTCCACACATCTCTGGGTCCGCCTCCTTATGTTTTCACAATCAGCCACAGCTCTCTGGTATCTTATTGTTAAATCCTGGACTTCCTTTTCCAGTTTCACAGCTTTTAGCCTTAAGGCTCGTTCAGTAAGAGATGGCCCAAGCTCATCTGGAGGGTCCTCAGAACTGCAGTCCTCACCAGCAGTTCTCTGGGTGGCAGTGCTGAATGGGGGCAGCCATCCTCTGTTCTCCCACGCGGCACTCAAGGTCAAGAGGCGCTGCACCCGCTGCCGGACCGCCCACAGCGACCGCGCGGCCATGTTCGCAATCCAGGAGGACCCAGGCAGCGCATGCGCGTTCGCTCCAAGTCAGTATCTTGACAATTTTATGATATAAATATATTTTATTGGGGCCGGCGCCATGGTTCACTTGGTTAATCCTCTGCCTGCGGCGCCGGGTTCTGATCCTGGTTGCCCCTCTTCCAGTCAAGCTCTCTGCTGTGGCCCAGGAGTGTAGTGGAGGATGGCCCAGGTGCTTGGGCCCCTGCACCCACATGGGAGACCAGGAGAAGCACCTGGCTCCTGGCTTTGGATCTGCACAGCGCCGGCCATAGTGGCAATTTGGGGAGTGAACTAACAGAAGGAAGACATTTCTCTCTGTCTCTCTCTCACTGTCTATAACTCTGCCTGTCAAATAAATAAAATAAAATAAAATAAAGATAAATATGTTTATATATATGTATTTATATCCACTTTAAAATACAAAACATGCACTTCCATCGACATTACTGTATTTAACTCTTAAGTAGAGAAAATAAACTATTGCCTTTTGACTATGTACAGTATCCTTCTTACTTCTCTGTTGGTTTCAGGCAATATTATCCAAATAAAATATCTATTAATGCCATTAGAATAATGACCCACTTGTGAATGTCTCATACTTTTCCTCATTTTTTTAATCAGAGAAAATTCTTGACCAAGCAGCAATACAGTTTAATCTTATATTTACAAAAAGAACCTTCAAATTTGGGAATATACAAAATTTATTTAATCTAACTGAAATAAGGGTACACTGGAAAAGGACTAATATTTAAGCTGTATTTTCAATATCTAGCATAATAATGCATACAGTGAAATATTTGATATAAGATAATGTGTTGAAATGATTGTTAAGAATAGAATCTATTTCTGCAGCATATTAATTTTTCATATTAGCATGCAGGCATTATTATTTGATCTCTAAATTCATGAAATAGATAAGTAGCTTGAGAAATAGTGAAGGTTTTCATTACTTCTCAATTACATGTTAATTAAAATAATTTTTAAAAGAGCTTTTTTGTGTTAAGCCTAGATTTTAAAAAAATTGGTAAAAGTATATAAAAGAAGGCTAATTGGTTAGTAATCATAAATGTAAAATTTGAAAACTCCAAAGACATTAAAATTAAACTAATAGTTAACATTTATTCTTTTAATTAACATTTGGCAAACTTGCTATTATAAGTTAGTCTGATATAATTTGGTTGATGGAAATTCTAATTGACATTTAATAAGTGTGTTGATCAAAATATATGTTGTTTTGTCTTCCATTTCAAATGACAATTACCTGCTTCAATATCTCTTATATTTCACAGATTAATAAGAACAATAGAATTTTAATATTTCTCTAGCCCCAAGACTGTAATTTATATGATTTATATTTTATATGATTTTCCCAATCCAGGATTTATTTCCTCCTAGTAAATTAAACAGCTTCCTAAGGGCATTGAGCCATATTTTCCTGGTGTGCACAATCTATGCCCTGAGAGTAATTGAAGTACTCTGGGAACCATGTGAACTCCAACAGGCCAGTGGGGTGCTGTTTAGGAAATCACTACTTAGACTAAATGGTGTTCACTACTTTTTCTTCATTCTAAACAGGTTATAGCTTCTATTTTCTAATCAGGATCCACAATTCTGTGTTCTTTTTTCAGTGTCTCCAGTGCTGTATTCATCTCTAAGGAAAACATTAATAGTGACAGTGTGTCCAGAGATGAAAAGCAGAGGGCCCATTCTTGAATTTCTCCTCTCTTTGTTCTTCTTTCTAGATTTACTTTTTACCACTCAGACTATTCTCTTATTCTCTTCCCTGATTTTCTGTAAAGTCTGATGAAAATAATTTTCTTCTCCTACTCATTAATCATTTCTTCTGTAGAAACAGGTCATATAAACAGATCTCTATCCCAATTGCCTTCATGGTAAGATATTAATCTTTCTTATTTAATCAACTATTATATATTGAAAAATTAAATAATTTAATGACATTTAAGGACACCAGGCATAATATATTGACAGTAAGTATTATGGAAAGCTAAACATCAGTTTGAAAATATCCATGCCCTATTTGCCTCAGATAAATCATCTCATTTCTCAGGTAGCATGTTTCCACAACTTTCCAGGGGTTGCTTAAATAGTCTTTCTTTTTTGTTCCTATACTAAGAAAGGTAGATTATTGTATTATTTTTTAAAGATTTATTTATTTATTTGACAGAATTACAGAAAGAGGCAGAGCCAGAGAGAGAGAGATCTTCCATCCCACTGATTCACTCCCCAGAGGACTGCAACAGCCAGAGCTGAGCTGAACCAAAGGCAGGAGCCAGGAGCTTCTTCTGGGTCCCCCACTTGGGTGCAGGGACCTAAGGATTTGGACCATCTTCTAATGACCTCCCAAGCCATAGCAGAGAGCTGTATTGGAAGTAGAGCGGCTGGGACTTGAACCGGTACCCATATGGGATGCTGGCACTGCAGGCTAGGGCTTTAACCCACTACACCACAGCACTGGCCCCGGATTACTATATAATTTAGATGCTTTTATTTCATCAATGCCATATTATTCCTGGTATTCCAATGATAAGTATGATCAGTTTTACTTGATAACACTTACTTATTATAAGTAAGTAGTAAATACCTATTTAAATAAACCTACTTTTATTTAAATATAAAGGAAAATTTTTGCAGGATGAAAACTCTGGCATCAAATCATTATAAAACACAACCAGTGAAAAATCTTTTAAGTACCTTCCTAAGGACTATTTGCAAATACTAGAGTGAATACAGTAAGTAGTATTGTTGATAATCAAAACTAACAATGTTAGAAATCTGCTCATTGACTATATTGGCTTGTTATTCCTCTTGTCTTTTTTCAAGTCTATGAAACCATATCAGAGAATGATGAGATACAAACCCTAATGAATCTTAGAACTCATTAAAATGTAATCATCTGTGTTCTTGCAAAGCTTTTCTTTTTAAAGCCTCTTCTCATATTGGCAGTGCTTTAGAAATAATCATTTAATGTGTTTGTGTACTTCTTGATTTTGAAACATGACTTTCTAATAAAAGCCTCTTAGGCTAATTCTGATTTTGATAAAGTTGAGTCAACATATATTTTTAAACCTTTGTATAGTTTTGTTGTATAGTTGAAAAGTGATCTTTGGTTAGCAATATAGTAAGAGCCTGAAAAATACCTGTTAATATTGAATTTGATGCTTATTCTCTGTGGACTTACAGTGCTACACATTCTATACTGTTGATAAAGCAATATAAACCCTGAACAGTTTGAATAAGACCTCAGAGAATAGTAGAATAAAAACAGATTCTTTGTGGCCAGCATTGTGGTGCAACAGATTAAGCTACCTTTTGTGATGCTGACATCTCTTATGAGCACCTGTTGGAGTCCTAGCTACTCCACTTTCAATCTATCTCCCTGTTCATGTGCCTGGGAAAGCACAAGTGCTTGTGCCCTGCCATCCATGTGGGAGACCCAAATGGAGTTTCAGTCTCCTGGCTTTGGGCTTTGGACTTTCCCAGCCTCAACTGTTGTGGATTTTGGGGGAATGAACAAATGGATGGGAAAATGTCTCTCTCTCTGTCTCTCTATCTCTCCCTCTCTCTATAACTCTGCGTTTTAAATAAATGAATAAATCTTTAAAGAAAAAAGCAGATTTGTTAAGTTTCGGTCCCAACTCTGCTATTTCCTGGCTTTGTAACTGATCAATTTATTTAAATTGTGTTTCTTACTTTGTAAAATGAGATATTTATACTTACCTCATACCATTGATATACTAGTTAATTGAGGTATATAGAGAAACAACTTTGTATTGTTATATAAAATTATAGGATCAAAAATAAATTCTAATTATTTTTACTTTGAATAGAATATATAGAAGGGGTATTTAGGAAATATTATAGACACAGAGCAGCACTGAATGGAAACTTATTCTATCTTCTCCTAAGACCTATATACACATTGTTATTATCAAATTATTGTTATCACCAAATTTTTTTGAGAAGATGCCACTGATAAGGCATACAGACTTTTAATTAATTTAAAAGTGTTCATGATATGCCTCAAAGCTACACCTTAGGTTTGTAATATAATTTGTATATGTATGAATTGCTTCGTGTAATCTTGTGATTTGGAATTAACATATCAAAGACCTCTCCAGCTTTGGGAGAGCAGGTTTTTTTATACCAGGTGTGGGGAGTATGCAGCCCATGAGCCCTATAAAGTCCACGAAATCATTTGGTCTGGCATTGCCAGGGCAACCACAGGCAAAACATGAAATTCAATGAATCTGTAAATCTGTAGCAGGTTATTTTATTTATTTATTTACTTATTTGAAAGGCAGAATTTCAGAAAGAGAAGGCAAGTCAGAAAGAGACATCTTCCATCACTGGTTCATTCCCCAAGTGGCCACATCCACCAGGATGTGCCAGGCTGAAGCCAGGAACAAGGAGCTTCTTTCAGATGTCCCACGTAAGTGGCAGGGGCCCAGGATCTTAGGCCATCTTCCACTGTTTTCCCATGCACATTAGCAGGGAGCTGGAACAGAAGTGGAGCAGCGAGGACTTGAACTTAGACCCGTATGTGATGCCCGTGCTTCAGGTAGTGGCTTAATTCACTGCACCATAGCGCTGGCCCCAGCAGGCTAATTTTTAAGTTTATTATTTTTCATGGCCAATGAATAGTGTTAGAAATATCCGAATGGACTTTGTTAGTGAAAAGGTTCCCCACCCCTGCTTGATACCTATGCTGCAGTTCTTTGTGCCTCTCCTGCACTTCAAAATAGTCCTTATTGCAGTGCTCATCACACTGCATTTCAAATGATTGTTTGCATCCATGTCTTCAGTTCAATTCATTAAGCAAAATTCCAAGACTCTGTTCTGTGTTACTGATCAAATGAATAAAAGGTATTTACTACTATCCCAGAGCCAACAGCAGAGTGAGGAAGCAGGGAGAAACCTTAAATAGCAGGACCATGTCACCAGGTTTGTGTCTTGAACCTACAAGCATGGGACCATCATCTTACTGCCATTTAAAATATCTATTTGCTGAATGAATAAATGACTATACTGTGTTACTGCTCCACTAGAATTATTTAGCAGCATCTTTAAAAA